GTTGCGTATTTCAGTAATACGGTTAATTGGCTACAATTTGGCGATGACGTTTTCCTAATACAATAGTCAATTGGTTCTGGTAATCCAGACCATAACGCTAATCCAGAATAATCTACCGTTATAATAATCTACAGCTTATCTAATCTACTTAGTACTATAGTAAGATCATCTTCAATTTGATTGTGATATCAGTCGATTTCACATTGATCCAACAATGTTACGGAGTTTGTTTCAGGATTCCATTCTTTTGTTGCTAAGTGCATATATCATCCAATCAATTGGCCAGAAATATTTATGTACACAGAACAAGTAAGATAGTAAAGACTTTTATGTTAAAGCAAAACTTTTTTCTATAATAAGTTGAAATTATTTGAATGCCATAGAAATATGTTCATTTGATTGAATTAAATCGCCATTTCTTTAACTCATTCATCTCTATCATCTCAACCTGGACTATTTCCTGTCTGTGTGATGTGATAATGGTATAAAATCTGCATTAGTAAAGTTTTTAGGACACTGAAGGATATTCATTAATTTGCAGCCGCTCATGATCAAATATGACGTCACTGATTGGGTAAGTCGGACATTACAATAACTTCATTATCTTAAGAACAAAACGAACTACGAATAAACTGTTTTAGAAAGCTGTCATTTAAGCAGTTTTCTTCAATAGCAACATATCTTTGTTTTACTGTTAATGTCTGGCATATTTTCTTGTTTAAGTATGACACTTTTGTAGAAGAAGAGAGGGGTGGGTTGGTGTGTGGGTGATTAACAACATGCATTTTCACTCTTTATTGTACAAATGAAGTGCAGGTGCAGATTTTTGACTTCAATCCCTCAGTAGTTATGATCATTGAAAATTGATCTTGCCTTAACAAGGGACAACTGTCAACAAACACTAAACTTAACTGGTTAATATTCCAAACATCAGTAACATAGCCAATGAACTTGCACATTTAGTCTGACTATGCAAATTCTAAACATTGTTAATATTTTTCTAAGGCAATGTTCCTTTACCTAGCAATGTTTATAACATGAAGCACAAGACTTTTACTACTTTAATTTTATTTCTTACCTTTCACTGTACCGGTCTAATTTCATGGCATCCAACACTCATGGTATTTGCTGTAAGCAAACTGAAGTAGCTGATACACCATCAAATATTCATTATCAATGGCTCACGACCGAGTTTGCCAATACATCCAACTTTCAAGTGTTTGACTAATAAAACAAATATTGAACATTTTGAATATAATGTGAATTTTATGGTGTAGAGTTTTAGGAAATAAGTGTAAACAAGACGCCTGCTCAGGCGTACATTCGTGCTCTGGTAAGTGCACAATTTGCGTTTTGACAACGAATTTGGTCAAAACATAAAATAATGTAAGAAAACATGAGCTGATGGCGAGTGATTTTAACGGTTTCTTAGTTAGATCAAACATTTTACAAACATTAAAGTAGTTTTCGTAAATATAAACAAGAATGTAGTGTTATAAGTATTGTTAGCAAAAGTATGGAAGTTAAATCCTCACAAATGCCAAATTGCAATGCTAGAATCTCTCAAGAAAAGGAAGCTGTAAAATTTTGAAAACAACAAATTCAAAATATCGATGATAGTTCTTGCTTTCATAGGATTTGAAAAGTATATATCGTAGCACGCAATATGTTGTAGCGTAGCTTTATCTTTTGTGCGTATATATTTTGCATCCTTTGTATTATTTGAAAAAGGATGTCTTTAATGCTAGTATTGTCGAAGTATTACATTTTGTCACTCCTTGCGGTCGCCATATTGTGAAAGCCAAAACCTCTACTCGTGCCCTCCATAGCACGAGTAATAAAACGAGATAACATGGTGCAACATAATTTCAATGTTGAAAGAATCAAGTTCCAAGTTTTGTGCTAACCAGACATTAGTGGTGATAGCGAACCATTCGTTTACCTCTAAATTTCATTTATGTTTCTTCATGATTATCTTATAAAGCAGTAATCTTCTCCCATGAGAACTATATCCCTCCTTTATTTTAACACATTCACGTAAAAGACACTTTATGCTTTATCCAGAGCTCTTATTTTCATAATCAGTTATTTGATAATTTTCAATGCATTGAAAATGCTCCCAAGACCCCCAAAAAATGTTAGTTTACACTCTCACGATCATGGAAGCACGCAACGTATGATGGTATATAGACTTATATTGACATTGTTAAATCAATGATATACTTTCCGTTGGTCAATTAAATTGATTTATCAACCTCTCATGCTTGCTACATTTTATCACAACTTTTTCAGTAGACTACACAGTTCGTACGACACGAAACGGCTCAAACAATCAAGTTCAAAGGCTGAAATTCTTAAAGACGTTGGGTGTGTTATTTACAACATGGAATGGATGAAGAAGCTCTTGACTTAGTTCGCCAGGCCAAAATTGAGAAAAATTTAAATGAATGGGACGAAGATCTGAGCAACAAGAAAAACCCTGACATGGTAGCCGAGTCTTTCAACTTCGAAGCAGTTTATTTTATGAAGAGCAAGAACTACGAAAAAGAAATCGAAAATTTAAAGAGGCCAAAAAAAACATTCGAAGAAATAGAACACGAACGTAAACTTTCAATAATACTATCAAATCTGGCAAATTGAGAGTGATTAAAAAAGAAAACGAAACACGCTGATTCCTTGGCTTAAGCACCACAAACTTTGAAAGATAAGAAAAAGATTGTCGGCAGTATTGACACTGGCACTTGTCAGCTCTTGGCGTGCCTTTTTGAAGCTGGAAGATTTAAAGAAGCAAAAGAAAGACTTTTGAAGGCTTCCAACGTAATAGAACATTTTTTGTCGGAAGATCATCCATGTCTTATCGAAATATACCAGCTGCTCAGCGACTTGCATAAAATGATGGTGATTAGCAAGAAGCGAACATTTGTGATGTTTGGACGTCTAAACAGATCAACAGCTTTGAGTCACCTTTGAGCACTGACAAGATTATAAATAATGACGCATTTGTCAAAATACATGAACTAAAAATTTCGATTATGTTTGGTAAATATTGTAGCAAAGAACTAAGAGACTGTTTACATAAAAAAAGTTTCCACATTCAAGTCATAAGACCATACTATGCTTCTGTAGCACATTAATAAGTAGGCTTAGGAACACTGTTTGCATAAAAAAGTTTTTATTAATTAAGTCATGAGACTATGAGATAATTCTGATGCAAATTAATATGTAGGTTTAAGAAAGAATGTGACATAAATAGTTTTAATTAAGTCATGAGAACGTGGGATGCTTCTGCTGCAGTAAGTAGGCTTTTTAAGATTTACAGAAATGACAGATTTTAATAGCAATTCAAGTTGATAAAAGTAATAATAGTAAGCTGATTGCTGTAGACTTGTAGCATAAGTAGTTGGTAGCAATATAAACCTAAGTGAAATCTGAACCTAGCTACATCATGTGCTGTACGAAATATGAAGTCAACCACCAGGGGTCTTCAATGCGCATTTTTCGTCACCTCGCAATGAAGGAAGCTTTGAAGACCACGAACATCAAGCGAAGCATATCAAGTTTGGTAGTCGTAAGATAGTACGTTTCTAATAAATGCGATGTCTTCACCTGAAGATTCTGAGGTGCGTAATGTTTCCGTAAAAAAAAAAACCCAGCTGGGGTGTTTTGCACATATATATGTGAGCTCGTATATCAGTGCGTGTATAGCTTACTTGGACAGTAAAATCACAAAAATTTAAATGTGGAGAGTAAAAAATTGTCGAGACCAAAACCTAATTCAGCTGGAAAACTTGTATCGGTGTCGAAATAATGCGGTAATGATTTTAATTGTCATGTTTATGTCAGGTGAACTGAACTATGAGCATGACCACAAAACTATTGTTGCGTTATATTAGCAAAATGTCCAGCAGTGACGACAGTTAGATCTTTGATGCCTTTGCTTTGGACTACTCATCCAGCAGAAGACTATCAGAACGACAAGGATATCTTAACAAAATAACTTACATGTAAGCTAGATAATATTCATTAAATAAAAGACGACGCTTAAGACAAGGGTTTTGTAAAATTTTCATTCATGCTTTTATTTGTATTCTAAAAAAACGATGATAGATGCAGCAAACTAACTTTGATTATTACTGTGAAAAGTTCTATGATAACAATGAAAATGAAGAAATTCTTACGTATATTGCAATGTATGCTAAAATGTAAACGTTGTACATAGAAACAATATAGAAAGTGAAGTGCATTTTTGTAGGCTAAGTAAAAGGAAAGAAGGTAGAAAAACACAAAGGTTTTGGTACAAATATCAATAGTAATACATACACAATGGCAACACAGATAGTAATGGTAGTGTTTAGGTGTTTAGTAAAACATATCGCTGGCAAAACACGGGATCTCTTTTGCTGAGTAATTTTGATGCACAATCATATTTCAGGCTTTTCAGCTGGTGAACATTATTTGTTCTCATTCATTAGTTGTCATTAAACTGATGAGAATTTCAGTGAAGATTTGTATTTGCCAACAAATATTTGCGTAGATGGATGTCGTAAAGTGCATACAAATAAAACCTGCATTTACGACAGGCCACTTTCATGAAAACGTAGTTATACAGATGTTGTCCTTCAATAAATTTTCTTGCCATAAATCTCTTCTCTATAGAGAAGAAGAGCTTAAACCCAAGGTAGGAAATAGAAAATTGATCGGGTTTCATAGCGCGCATGGTATTACGCAGGAAATGCGAAATTATTGCATGCAAACAACGACCTGAATAGTTTGGACAAAAATATTTACTATATCAGAGCTTTTAACGTAGAAAATTTTAGTAATTTTTAACGCCAAAAAGACCGCATGTCTCACCTGTAAAATGCACTACAGATGTGGTAATGAGGCAAATTTTTAAAGATCCCTTTTGAATTGCATTATGCACGTCATTTGACTCCATTTATAGATACGATTATGTCACTCTTCTGCTGTATTTATGTATACAGGTGGTAAACGTGGAAATGGATTCGATAGAAAAGAATATTGACATATTGTCTTTTGATGGTGGAGGAAGTCGAGGTGTGATGGAAGTGAAAATTCTCGACGACGTTTTACGATTAGCAACGATTGTGTTAAGAAATCCTCTAACAGTACACTATCTCGTAAACGAAGAATGTAATGAACGGAAAAAGCATTTTTTGGAAAATCTGGTCGTTCGAGAACGTCTTATTAATGATATGAACGCAGTTAAGGATCCCCTTCATCCTGCCGATGTGTACGATATGATAGTTGGTACCAGTACAGGAGCTCTTGTTGCGTTTGGTTTAGTTGGTGGGAAAAGAGTTGGAAAAGATCACCATATAAGAGAACGGATGAGTGTTGATGAATGCATTCAGATGTATCTTACAAAAACGAAGATCATTTTCAAGAAGACGTTAATGCAAAAGTTTCTTTCTTGTATCCCAATGTTGTCCAGCATTCCCCTTGGAACATACTCACAAGCCAACGTAAAGAAAGTTGTAAAAAAGCAGTTTAGTGATTGCAGCCTTGAAGATTTTCGCAAACTCCACGATTCAAAATGCGTAGCCGGAGCTGTTGCCAGAAGACTCGGCAGATACGAAGATCTTGTGCTGTTTGATACGACAAACGAAGACTATAAGAATTACAAGGCTTACAAAGTCTTACTCGCTTCCTCAAATGCTCCAATATACTTTGACACTCCAGTTAAAATTGGCAACGACGAATTTGTCGACGGTGGTGTTGGTGCAAATTGTCCTTAAGACAAGCTATACCACGTGCACAAACAGTTTTGCAAAGATGGTAAACAAGTAAAATTGTTTCGGTTTTATCAATTGCACCACCCTCGTCTTCCAAATCAGAAATTCCTTCTCATGGTGGTCTTTCGAGTTGGTTGTATTATTTTGTGAATGCATCCAACGATGGATATGCAGTTTTTAACGACGTTGTGGAGAAAAACAGAGGGAACAAAACTTTGTTTCAAAGGCTGTCGCCACGTGGTAAGAGCTTAAAAAAATTTAAGCTTGATGAAATTAACGTCCAAAACATGATAGATGCCATGGATGACGAAAAACTTCACAACGACATGTTTCTCGTCGACGTTGTTGCCTCCGCAATGCTTGTTGTACTCGCGTACATTGATAAAGGACAACACTATCAAAAAATATCTCCAGAAATTGCCTCACAACTTGCTCAAGCTGCAGGACTTGCACATCAAAGCAAGAGAGAATATGAATCTGCAATCATTTCGTACAAAACAAGCAAGCGTCTTCTGCAAAGGAAAGTTAGGGTTGACGAACAGGACGATTTTACCATGATGAAGATTACTTATAACATAGCAAAATGCACAAAAAAACAAGGAAATTTTCAATTGGCAATTTATTTACTCAAAACCAGTGTCAGAGACCTTCTGCTATCAAGGTGACCCAAAGTCTGACTTGCTTCTTGTAGATTCTTTGATTGAGATAGCAGACATTTACATGGAAACATTTCGATATGATGATGCGGAAACATATCTAAATGAAGTAATCGTAAATTACATCAAAGAGAAGCAGAAATTTGCTCGCATCCTAATTTATGAAGGATGGTGCAAGCAGCAACTAGGAAAATATGACGAAGCTGTCAATCTTTACAGGGAGGCAGCTACATACACCGCAGACGACGTTAATCCTGAAAAGGCAGAAATTCTCAATAACATTGGATTGTGTTTCTTAAGTCTTGGAATGATAGAAAAAGCCCTCACTTTTGTTCTTCTAGCCCAAGATGTAAGGGATAAGTTAAGCAAAGAGAAAAACGATCCTCTTGTAGCCGAATCTTTTTTCAATGTTGGGTTTTGTTTGTTAAAGAAAGGTGACTTCGATGCGGCTAAGAAAAATCTGGAGGATGCTAAAGCTATATACGATTACATTGGAGACGAGATAGGCGACTCTCTAATACTGAGAAATTTAGCAAGGTATCTGACCTTAAAAATCCACCGATAACGATCTTGCTTTGGTCTATGCCCAACAAGCTCAGGAAAAGATGAAGAAATATGTTCTTGATTATAATAATCCCGGAATTGCCGTTAACCTGTCAGTTCTTGGTCTTTGCCTTTCAACGCAGAAAGATTCGAAGAAGCAAAGATGAACCTGTTGGAAGCTTTGGACATGATTGAAAATTTGTTTTCTGAAAATCATCCATGGCTGACAGAAATTTATCAGCTGCTCTACGATATATTTGTGAGATATGGCGACCTGGCGAAAGCGGAAAATTACAAACGAAAGAGAGCTAGGATATACAGCGAGATAAACAAAATGGCCAAGAATATAGACACTACCAGTGAAGTAAGGTGGAAGTCTCTTCCTTACCATCCTTTTTCTATAAACAGTAGGAGCAGTTTCTAACTCCTGAAGTCAATTAAAGTTCACATAGTTTGAATTACGACACAGTCAGTCATTTGGATTGGTACGTCTATCATAATAAATACGAAATACAGTAGCAAATAAAAGACAATACAAGAATGGACATAGTTGACAATTTTATTGCTTTCATATGTTTTCATTATATCCACTCGCATACAACACTGTAAGTAGAAAGTCATTGAATAATGGAGGCGTTCATTTTAAAAAAAATTCTTTGCGACCGCAAGCGGTCATGGTTTAATATGTCATGGTTGTAGCACAATAATACGCAGAAATAAATGTTCAATACAAACAAATTTTTGGTGAGCTTTGAATATTGTTTCTAACCATTATGATTTACCAGTCGCCATATTGTCATTAGATGCATGATATTCTGTCACATTTTTGTCACGCATTCGCAAAAAATACGGATAATTTGTTACAATTTGGCCATAATGCTGAACTAATACAATAGTCAGCAGTATCTAACAATCCAGCTTGTACCTCTAAGCTAGAATCTGGAGATACCTAGTGTACCTGTTTATTTTAAGATTCTTTGTAAACTTCAATCTGATTTCATTCAGCTTCACATTGATTTATGTTACGGAGTTTGTTCTAAGATTCAATTTTTTTTTTTGCTGAATGCATATACCATCCAAAGAAATGATAAACTTTTTTCTCAGGCATTTGTCACTTACAGGACCGGAGTGGGGGTGAGTGGTGTTACTGATTAACAACTTGCACTTTTACTGTTTATTGCACAAATGATATGTGTGTTGCCATGATTATGGTGAACTATCAACCACAATGATTTAGAACCCAATCTTCTAGATGTCAAGATGCGGCAAAGACGCCATCTTGAAAGGTGGCAAAAAGCAAAACTCAAAATTTTAAAAATAAGTTAAACAAAGTTTAAAATACCATCCTATCAAACATTTTAAGAATCAAACATGGACTATGAACTTTGCGAATATATATCAACTCAGCAAAAGTAGATATTAGTCGTAAATATCGTCAGTTTTGCCACCTTTCAAGATGGGGGCTTGCCTCACTCATTACTATACAATTTCGGCGGAGTCAAATACCCAGTAGATTGGGTTCTAAGTCATTGGTCAACCAATATCAAACTTACTGGTTGACTGGTAAACATCAATAACATAGCCAACTTGCACATTGACCCTTTAATCTGAATATGTAAATCCTAAGAATTATTAACTTGTTTTCAAAAAATGTTCATTTACCTTGCCCTTGGCGGGCTATGCTACAGTAGAGCATGAAACAAAACACTTTACCTTCCATTTTGTCGGTATTTTTTCATAGCTCCCTAATCTTATTGTACTTGCGGTGAGAATTGTAATTGACACGACATCAAATATTCATCAACAATGCTATTCGACCAATTTGCTATTACATCCAATATTCCAAGGTTTTGACTGGTAAAAAAAATATTAGAGGTTTTCAGTATATTGTTAATGATGTTACATATAATTGTATGAATTAGGATGCTTTAGCAATAAGTGTAAGATATAGATAGATAACATGGTGTAACATAGCTTCAATATTGAAAAATCAAGTTCCAAAGTTCTGTGTTAACAAGAACAGTGTAAACAATGGTACATATTTTATGAGTTAGGCAGTTGTAGAAAGAAAGTGTAAAATGGAGCTTGTTAATATGATGCATCATAACTTCAATGTCGAAAGAATTAAGTTCCTAAAGTTTTGTGTTGCCCCGGTAATAGTAGTGATAGCTAACCCTTAGTTTATCTTGATTCTTTGCACAAATCATGATTCTTAGCACAGCAAGCAACAATCATGAGGCAAGCAATAAAGTGTAGCTATATCAACAAAATTCGAATCCAACTTTTTTCGGTAACTGCCTGCAGCATACTTGAGTGAAGCTTACAGTTTTTACATGGTGGTAAAGAATAACCTACTAGGCTTCTGTTTATACACCTTAACTGACGATTCTATCAAAATTAACCACGCAGTCTTCTGTTCAAACTTATAGCTTGAAATAAGATTTTTCCGCCAATAGGAATTTGAAGTGAGACGTCAAAACAAAAGATAATGCAATTTAGCATTAAAGAACTCGTTTTCGAATAAAATTTACATAATTTTATTACGATTTATGCTTGTTCCACTCTGCTCAAATTTAGGGTGTTTACATGAATCCGGAATGAGTTTCGATCCGGAATGAACTCATTCCACTTTAAAAGAAATCCTACTGCATGTTTACATGAATCCGGAATGAGTCACAACTCGATCCGGATCGAGTTCATTCCTAGTTTCATTCCGGATCGAAATTTCAATCCGGATCGAAACTTACTTTTTATCTCATGTAAACGCGAATTGAATTTCATTCTGGAATGATTTGCGATTAATGACGAAGCACGCATGTGCCATGGTTATTGTCTTCTGGCAAATTGAAGCTCGTAAGCAAATAAATCGGCTAAATGGGTTAAAATGAATGCGAATAAAAACAACGATTAGATTCATGTAAACACGGATTGACATCACGTTTCGATCGGGATTGAAAGTCATTCCGGATTCATGTAAACACCCCCTTACGCACGTTGTACAAGTGTACCAGATGATACTGACGTAACTGATACTTGTACTTTTACGTACATACTCATACTTGTACATACTCATACTTGTACTGATACTGAAAGTTTGTCGTTCTGGAAATCTTTGTTTGAACTGATTGCGTGTTTTTTGTAAGCGACTGGTTTCAAAAAACGTTTTCACAAGAAATGTGCCTTCTGCCATGTTTAATTGAAACCATAGTGTTAGTAAAGCATACAATACAAGAAGAAGTGTAATTTGCATTAAGTCTGCAGTGATGATTAGCATTTAAAGGCCTTATGGGAGTAGATTTGAAAGAAAAAAGGGAATTCCCACTGGCGGAAAATTGTGATTTTTATGAACTAAATTTGTAAAGACATGCTACTTCATTTCACAACTGAAAGATTCGTACAACATGTCTCTTGAAAGGTAAATAAATGGACTTAACAAAAGTGCAAAAACCAGACGACTTTTTCAAATATATTCTGTGCTATTGAACCCCAAATTTGAATTGGAATTTTTTGTCAATTTACCAAATCCACTGTTTTTAATTAAAAATTTTTCTTGCATCGTAGCAACAGTTGCTAGTAGCATAACTAATTATTTGCCAACGAATAAGATTCGTTCAATTTCATCAACATTCCTTCTATCTTAGATAGCAACCTGCAGTGTTTGACTGCGACTCTACGTCTGCCATAATAAGGAGCTTCACAAATTCTAAAAGCAATCGCATTGAAACAGATACCATCATTTTCTCAAGACTTTTTGCGGTATATTGACAAATTTCTGATTTGAACAAGCTCTTCTCTCGACACAGGTACGTCTGATTTACACGAATTTTGCCATATTTAAATAGAGACGTTTGTTCAAATAAAAATTTTTTTTGATTGTTTGGTTTCTGATGTCTGGCGATATTGCCAAAGTGATTCTTGTTGCTCTTATGATAGCTACTAAGTTCGTCTATTCTCACAGGATAAGATTCGTACCGTTTTAAATGTCACTATTTTCAGACATGGGATTTCTAGAGAAAAACTGCTGTGATGTGAGTCATAACAAGTCCCTGTTAGTGTTATATATTTAACCGAAACCTGTACTTAACCCTCTAAGGGCCATATGTAGTGAAATGCATCATAATGTAACTACTCTATGCGGTCTGCGTTAAAGAACTCGAGATTGTGTAGCATCGTGTTGTGACTCCCTTGGGGCAAGATGTTTTCTCAGATAAGTTTCGTTTCGTGATTATTGCTCGCACAAGCAATGGCCACTAACAGGTTGAATTGCTCGCCATGGCGGTTACTAAATGAAAAATGCAGACATGCGAACAAATAGAGAAAAGGGAAGCTGTAAAGCAGCACATTTGTTTTGATGTAAAGTAAGTTTCTTGTTTGGTTCATTTTTAACCTTTTACTTTGTTCCCAATTCTGTATGGTTTTTGCTTGGTTCATTTTTAACCATTTACTTTGTTAAAAGAGCAAGTAGCTACCATGGTGAATAGTTAAAATAATAACATGATAGCGAGTTCTTAAAAACTGTTTAAAACCAGGGCACTAACCCAACAATTCTAAGAACTGTTTTAAAGAACTGTTTTAAAAGACACTATGCATTTCGACAGACTACTCATCAGATGTCAATGTCTGCTAAATAAGAACTTCAAAATCATGCGATATTAATAATGTTAGAAAAATAAACGTCATTTCTAAATTGAGGGATGACGCTTAAAAAACAGAGATAAATCAAACACGTAGCTACTAGGCCATGGGCCCAATAGCAAAAAGTCGTCTACAAATAACATCGCCATGCGTCCACTGAGGAACCAGCTCAATTTTACAACATAGGTAGTTTATATTTATCATTTCCCGAAGGTATGTTGCATCTGAAAGTTGCACATTAAGGAGAAAATGAGCGTTTTTTGACCGCAATGTTGTACAACGATGTCCGCCATCTTGAAACCAAAAATCGCTACGCTTGCACATAGCCTCGGAATTATCACACAAGAAATAAGTTATCAACTAAAGAAGTCTTTGAAAAAATGTGAAGTGCACCAGTTTAAAATTGTCATCACAAAAGAAAAACATGAAAAATCTATGTGATAAAAAGACGGCTTATAAAACATTCAATAGTATATTTTCAAAAAAATTTCAAAAGTATATATATCAACGTTTTCAAACTATTAATTCACCGAACAAATGAAAAAAAGGCATTTCGTCTCTGCTTGATTGAACCAAAAATCATCAATATCATGCTCCAAGTATATTTTACTACATCGATTTGTAAAGAAAATTGCTAAGGGCCTCCACAGAGTAGGTTTTTTGTCGTCGACAACTTTCCGTAGTCGAAAGTGAGAAGAGAAAAGTTGATCAGAAAAACCACGTTGATCATTTCAGCAGAACTTGCTAAAGCTTCTGGACTTGCCTATCAAAGCAGGAAAGCATATGAATCGACAATCGTTTCGTACCAAACAAGCAGCCGTCTGCAAAAGAAAATTGCCAGTGATTTCACCTTGTTGAAAATATCTTCTTATAAACATCGCAAAATGCACGAAAAACCTGGAAGATTTTCAATCGGCAATTAGCTAATTTACTTGAACACAACGTGCGAGAACTTGCTCGCAATCAATGTGACGCAAAGTGTGACATCATATTTTTTTAATATTTCGTTTAGATAACAGACTGTTACCTGGAAACATGTCGATATGCTGATGCAAAAAAGTGTTTGAATAAAATACTCAAAAAAGAAATCAAAGAGAAGGAGAAATTTGCACGCGTCCTAACCTACAAAGCATGGTACGAGCAGCAACTAGGAAAGTGTGACAAAGCTGTCAAACTTTACAGGAAGGCTGCCAGTTACACCGAGGACAACCTTCGAAAAGCAAAGAAAAACCTTTTAAAGGTTTCGGTATGATGGAAATGTTATTTTCAAAAGATCATCCATGGCTTGTAGAAACGTATGAGCTGCTCTATGAATTGCATATGAAAGATGGCGAGCAGAAAGAGGCGGAAAATTATGAAGCGAGAATCACATCCATTTTCATTTTGTACTGCCTATAAGGTTTATGCAAATATGTATTGAATGGTGGAAGTTATTGACTAATATTTAAAAATATGGATATTAAATATGATATTATTACTTGATTCCCCTGCGTACCGTGAATGCATGTGCGCACGAGAGAGTATAATTCACGACAATAAACGACGACAATGCACAATTAAAGTTAAATCAGCTTTACTTTTTTTCCCTTCCCCTTACAACAGTCCACTTTTATTGTCGCGCCAAAAGTACGGTTGCTATGCTAAGTTCATATATCATCCAATGAAATTGCAACGTAAGTATGACAGCCATTATGATTGGATGATGTTAAAAGTTGGTGTTGTTTACCTCATAATTCTAAACATTGTTCATTTGTTTGTATCGAATATTTTAGTTTTTGCTAAAAAGTGATCAACTAATTATACTTAAATGAAGATATGATCTTCGCACTTTGCTGGACAATTTAAGCAATCGTCTCAGGACCTGAAAAAATCAGGTGACTCAACGGGATCCATCGGAAACTCATCCCGTTGAGTCACCTGATTTCATAAAAAATCTTCATTATTCAATACCGCACTGCATAAAAACATTTATAAATATACTTACGTACGTCAAGTGCCATGATGGCTTAGTTTCTTTAATTATAATATGAAACCCAACACTTTCCTCTAACTGCGTATTTTTATTTCTTACCTTTCATTGTACAGTCTGTTTTCATGGCACCATATACTCATGGTTCTTCACGTGAGAAACTGTTATTGATACATCATCAAATATTTATTAACAATGGTTCATTACCCAATTTGAAAATACATCCATCATTTAAAGGGTTTCACTAGTAAAACAAACAATTAGAGGCTTTCAGTTTATTGTAAATGATGCAAAATAATTTCATGAGTTAGGGAGCTTTAGCAATAAGTGTAAGTAAGAGCTAGATAACATGGTACAACATAGCTTCAATACTGAAAGAATCAAGTTCCAAAGTTGTCTGTTAACCAAGCAATAGTAGTGATAGCCAACCATTAGTTTATCACCAAACTAAAGTTCTTTTTATTTCATGATGTTCTCATAAAGCAGAAACCTTGTTAAAAGGAACTCGTGCAGTCAAGGTTTTGTACTTCCATTTGTCAGGGGCAGACTTAGCTGTAGGCTAAATAAATTACTTCAACACATTCATTGGTTAATTTTTACTATTTAGAAATTTACAACCAGTAACTTTTATATAAAGATATTTTAAATTTATAATTACATATCATAATTAAATTTTAAAACTACATATAATGTTAAAATTTATATAAGGTATTTTATATAAAACAATAATTCACTTTGCCTAACCCTGGATCCGCTACTGCTTTATGTGCTGTTGGACAATTTCTTATCATCTTTATAAACAAGAATCAAAGCAATAAGCCACATTTCATATCCTGGCATGGCCTTCTTGGAGCCATCACTGTGTTATTAACATGTATCCAAACATCCATGGGTACTGGGCTGCTATATCCCACTTTACCCTAATTTAAAACATCCATGGGTACTGGGCTGCTATATCCCACTTTACCCTAACATAAAACTCCATGCTTTATTGACAGAGCTCCTATTTTTATTCTTAGTTATTTGGTAACCTGCTAAGTCTCCATTGAAATTGGTTTTTAATGAAAGCTGAGTTTCATATTGTTTAGTTGTTGGACATGTTTGTTTAATATTTCAGGCAACTTTTGTAAATAATCAGATTGCATATTTGATGAAAAAAACTTGATGGAATAAATTCTCAACGCATTATAGTATCATAAAAATTGCACCTGGAAGCACCAAAGAAGCCCAATAGATAGAGGGCTCTGGAAAGCAACACCATGTTGAAAAAATGTCATCAAATGTATTTTCCTTTTTTCCAGGCTTTTTCATGCGTTTCTTTATCGCTTAGTATTTTCTTGCACATTGTAGCTTTTAAACCCCCTGCCATTTGAATTTTTAATCTTAAATATTATCTTGACGGATGACTTTCCTATCGTTATCTAAAATGAACATAAAAACGCTCATTTTTTTCATGGCAATAATCAAGGAGGCACGCAATGCATGATGGTAAATCAACAACACAAAAATTATATTAACATTTCAATGTATTAAAATAAGTTCCTTATATCGTGAGCTGGTTGATTTATGATTTCTCGCGCAACGTTCTTGAATACTACATTTTATGGCAACTTTTCTCTAAAAGTACACGACTAGGCTCCGAATGGCTCCAAATTGGGGCCTAGTCAACCCTGAAAACTCCCCACAAAAAAAAATTAGAAATTTAGTCTTCAAGAAGATGAAGATTTTATCATAATCTCTATTCTCTAGTTTAAAACATTGAATAATTTATCATGAAAAACGACAATTCGCACAAAACACATTTCTGAACAATTTTAAATTTTAGAGTAGCTGCTTGGGTTTATTATAGTTTAAAACGAGAAGCTGTTTGCAATGACTTTGACGCCGGTCCAAATTATATACTTTTCTTCTGCGCTCTTTGTGATTTTAATTATTGATTTTTATTGGTTGTTTTCCTGCTATAAATAAACTTCTTAGACAGTCTTTCTTAATTTTCACTCATCGGTTGGCATAATCGGCAATCTAATAGTTCTTAACTGAATTTCAGTCCTATTTGATATTCCATAGGCGTGTAGCACTGTGGAATATAGGCAAGTTCGAGCTCGTGCAACGTACAGGGGATGCCCTCTTCCTTCAATTGAAGGATTTTCATAAGGTCGGAGTTCAAAAAACATTATTTTTGAGCATTTTTCAGGAAGAGTGAGGTAAGACCTATCCTAGGAAAATAGCTAAAGAATTCTCTACAACAAACGGACAAAGGAAATCTTTTGTTTGGCCCTTTCGATTGCTTGCATTTGACATAGGATTGGTAAATGTTTCCTGTCAGTAATTTCTACGTAATCTACAGCACTCTTAGCACTCAATTTACATTTTATGATAATATGAACAAACTTGTGTTTTTGTAGGAAGAATTTTAATTCTTGTTTCTTTCAAGCTAAATGTTAAATGACATCAAGTCTGTGTTCAAAGTTCTTGTTGTACATAATTACCCCAATTAAAATGTAGGCGTTGGGGAATGAAAACTTCCTTCACCGCTTTTTTAACGACACCAAGGAACGTAAGTTTCGAAAAGTAGTAGTAAGATGATTGCAGTGGACTGTGGTAGTAATTGCCTGTTTCGTTGTTGGCAATTTTGGTTTATGTCAAATTTGAACCGAGCAATAACATCATGTCATACAATTAACATGCCATGCTATTTATGTTCTTAGCGGATGTGCCACTTGATTATACAATTATATTTTGGCCCTTTTCTGCCTACGCAAGTGATTGTCATTAATAGAGGGGGAAATCAACAGTTGAACTGCTCGTGTTGAAGGAAATTCTAAACACAACAAACATAAACGCCACCGAAGAAAGACGTCAAAATTCACAAGTCTTGTCTGAACAATCAAGAATACTAATAAGGTGCGTTATGCTTCCACCAACTAGTTTTTAGCATTTTTAACGAACGTGTATGTAGTGGAAAGGTAATCGGTCAATATTTTCATCATACCGAGTTCTGTCCACATCATAAATCTGTATAATATAGATGAAATTGATCATTGAATTCTCAATCACGGCTGTAGATGTCAGCTGATTCCCATGCAAAAAATGGCGGTATCGGTCAATTACTGCTACGATTTAGCCACCAAATTTGCCGTTTTTCAGAAAATAATACATTTTTTCATCCACCCTGAAAAGAGTGAAGAAGAAAAACGCATTTGGGATTTAGGCATAAGCAATATATATTTGATGTTGGAAAATGACCAAGGAAGATTTGTTAAAACACAGTCAACCAATAATCATGCTGTAATAAATCATGCTGTTGCATCGGTATGTCTGTAAAATATGCCCAATGAATCTTCACCAAGTGTGGACCTGATAAGGATATTTTCAGAAAAGAAAGCAAGATTAACAAAAGTTGTGTAGTATATCACGCTTACATACTTTTCCAGTATTTAGTCGTTATAAGACGTAGAAACGTTTATTTTAGCAGATCTTACAACTTGGCTTTCGCGACATACCAAGTGTTTTGACATCGTCATGGGTGTTAGACCGGTTCAAATCGTCGCCACTGACGAAGAAGAACACGTTTTTACATTGAACGAGGATGCTCTTGAAGAAATTTTGTTAAGCGACAGTAGAATACGAGACAAAAGGTTGTTGTGATTTCCGTTGCTGGGGCTTTTCGTAAAGGAAAGTCATTTCTGTTGGATTTCTTCCTGCGTTATCTGGATCGAAAGGTACGAAAAAATGTGGAATTGAATTAGTGATTTACTTGTGGATAATCGACGTACTGTAGTACATAGATTGATGAAATTTGCAAATTTTATCACTTTATTTTGTTTTTGAATGGAAAAGTTTTGCTATGATTTGGTAATTTCTACGGTGAAATTCTTCCTCAGATTATTTAAAATAGAATCGATGTTATTGTCGATTTCAGTTAACTTTTCAAATGGCGGTTGCCAAGTTACTTTCTAATGTTGCCAACTACATTTCCAAATATGGAATATTCGTTATGAACTTGTCAACTTGAGTTGACAAGTTGTGTACTTGAGTACTGAAGTTGGGAACTTGAGTACTGAAGTTGGGAACTTTAGTACCGAAGTTGTGAACTAAAGTTGCGAAGTACTAGCAAACGCGAAAGGTCTTTGTACCCTGTAGACATTTGGCAATGAATCCGTTCAGTAAGCAAGGAAAAGCTTTAGCAATTCTAATCCGTTTGACGGCCCTCTAAGAGTGTTATAATGCGATACGCCGTTTACATTATGTAATAAATTTACAGTAGATGTGGCACTAGAAGAGTATCGTTGGATTTTAAATGCAGTAGTACCCTGCATACTGTGCCCTCGACGTCTGTTGCCACTCGTAACAACTACAGGCGACTCATCAAAGAAATGCATACGGTTGCAATCAATCAATGAAATATTTGCTACGTAAGCTTCTAACTTCTCCATAACGTCCGGCCGTTCTGTCTCTCGAGGAATTTGACTTATTATCTTGTAAGAGTAACCAAGATCTTTATTCAAAATTC